ACGACATAGAACGAAAATTCTGCTATCGAATTAGAAAATCTTTCTAATACTATTTCGAAAGTCTATAAACGTGTTTATCCCATTCCGTTCGCATAAAAATGTTGCACTGAGAATTCTATTTTCCACCTTTTTTATTCTTCCCGCAACACTTCCCAAGGTATCGAGTACGAAGCCCATTTTCAGGACGAATGGCATCGGAATAACGCGATCCTGGTTGCTGGAAGCTAACAGGACTCGCTGTTCCCCCATTAACCTTATCTCCTTTTCCGGATCTGTTTCCCGGTATCTTTATTTTTCAGTTCGCCACGCACACGCTCGTACACGCGGCGAGAATGGGGGGCACCGTCGAGACATTACAGGATAAGGAAACCTAAAGGAGTAGAATCGATTTTCCCTTTAGGAACACGGTTACGTAGTGTGATGATAGAACAGGGGGTGAGGTTTCGCGATTACTTAAAAAGAACTACGTACAAGCTTCGCTTCTGGGAAGCGATCCGGGTCGCAAAATTGTTTCCTTTTTGCGACTCACCCCCTATTACCAACTTCTTCGACTTCCAGAACTGAGTAAATTTCTTTGGGATGGAATTGGACTGGAAGAGTAAACAATCTTTGCCTCCACTTCTTGTACTCGCGATATCAAAAAATATCGACGATATTTTTGTTCAAAGATAAGCGAGATTAAATTTGTAACGAATGGTGGGTGTTAGGGGATGGAAGGTTTGGTTCGATATTCGAGAACGATGCAAATTTCGTTACATTCGTTACAAACCTTTCATTGCTGTTATATTATTGCCGCTCCATGTTTCATTCATTCTTTGAACCAGGATTCGAAAAATTTCAAAAATATTCTTCAACACGTACAATTTCCATGTTTAAAATACACCGGTTCGCGCACACGCGTAGAAAGTGGTGTAAGAATGTAAATGTAAAAATGTAGGACGATATAAACTCGAAGAGAAAAGTTAAAAATTCGACTGTCTCTCGATCCTAAACTTTCTCTTGAATAACGGGAAGATAAATGAATAAATAAATAAAAATGGAAAGCAAGAGACGAGCTGGAATTGCGGACCGTTAGAATAAAAGTGGAGGAAGATTGCAAATTTGCCCGACCGCACTCAAATATTTTGGGGCATAAATTCGCGGATTTGAGTCGGTTCCAGGGGGATGATGTTTTTATTTGAAAAACGTTTAAATATCCGCGAGCGACAGCGAGTAAATACACGCGGACAGAACCAATCATAACCGCAGCTCGGGCAATTTTCAAGCTTCCCGTCCCGCTTCTGTCGCGGCTATTTCAATTACAGCGATCCCATCGTTAACCCGGCCACGAGCATTCAAACCGGGATTCGCGATTTTTCCACCACCCTCGTCCACAACGTTTCTTCTCGCGGGAGACAACTTTACCCAGCAACTGGAATTTTTAATTACACCAGTGCAGAGAAAAGTAATCTTCCAACGAATCGTGGATCCACCCCTCCGCCGTTTTCTAATTATCCGTCGCTCGCGCGAAATAACGCGATCCTCCACGGATGCCATTCGATGACAAGGGTGGAATTCCTCTACGTCGAAAGGAAACGAAATTTCGCGAAATTTCCCTGACTTTTCGTCAACCGTGTCTCTCATTCGCAGGTGAAAAAGGTTTTCGAAGAAACGAGCGACGTAGATGGATGAAATGGGAGAAATTAGGTTCAAGAGCGTCTTGAATTGAAGCAATTAAAGCGTCGAGACTATTAAGATATTTAATTCGAGTTACGAATTATTGAGTACGACTACGGAATCGAGATAACCATTTCCTCGATGACGTGATCGAGTCATCTGGCGCCAGCACGAGGTCGAAGGACCTGATGGGCGCCACCCTGTGCTTGAATGTTCGACGACCTCAGGGTGCCGAGGTGCGCGCGCGCGCCACCCTTGGGTGGCGCCAGTCGGAATTCACGGTTTCGAGGAGGTGCGTCTCACCATCACGATTTTCTCCATGCATGAGATTATTCATGATTCTAAACTGACGTCATTCGAACCTGACATCCTCGAATAATATTGTAGAATGCGAAGAAAATTCTTTTCCGACAGAAATAAGAATACTACTGAAATTTCACTACGACTTTCAAATATTAGTATTTTCTATTCAATTGTTAAATATCGATACACCTATTCATGAAAGTGCTCCAACGCCTGGATCTTAAATATTTAACCAATAAAATTCACAACTTGGACTCGGGCTTTCAAAATAATATCACGCTAAAGGTAAGACACGAGTGTTAAAAATGCAAATGTTCGACAAGTATCCATTCGACTGGTTAAAAGGTAGTGACACGAGCGTTCGAATATTTCCATAAGCTTCTTCATTCGCGAAAGAAATCTAATCTATTCTCCAGGGAAGAGAAACGAGGTAAATAAGGAGTTCCCCGGGGTATTCTTACATGAAACACTACTACAGTTGTAGTTGAGCCGCACGTCGACCGATTCACGTGGAAAATTGATTCGCGTTAATCCACGCCGTGAGTTTCGATTCTGTGTCACGCAGGCCGGTCGCATTCCTCCGGGAAAGGAATTTCAATTTCTGAAACCGTTTCGTTGTCAACTGGTTACCATCGAGTTAGTCGTGCGTTGCGTTCGAATCCCTTCTTGCTCATGGTCGAGCGTTTTTCGAGGTCTTCCACGCGATGTAACCGACGAAGCGGATTCATTATTCGCTCTGATGACGTTTCACAATTGAGTCTCTTTTAATCCTCGCGCAGGTATCGGTCGAACGCGTTGTACCAGCCTTGGGCGATCGCTTTTTCGCTCATGTCCTGGAGTTCGTGTAATTTCCAGACCATCGAGTGTGCTGGGTGAAAGTTTCGAGGTGAATCGATATAATTGGCAGATATGAACTTGGAGAATTTTTTGACTGTCCGTCATGAAGTTCGGTACGATGATACGAGGAGAAATGAGCAGTTCACTGCACAAATTGATTAACTCCATAAAACAAAAAGTGGAGAAATGCAATGAAATAATGTAGTTATGACTATACCGAGTGCTTTGGCATTTAAATTTAAGATTTTTCAAAAAGCGGAGTTAATCGATTTGTGCCATCACTTTCTAATGCCATCAGCGAATTAATAACACCCTGGAGAGTACTCGAGCTTTCGTAATATATTTAAAGCTATCCTCGATCAATTCCTTATACTTTCATTCATCTACTCCTTTCAATTCCCATTTGTAATTACACGCACCCTAAAGCGACAAACGGCAACATGCAACTTATTATATTCCCGTGTTCCACGTTAATCGAGTTATTCGAGCTATTTAAATAGGTGTTGCAACAACATGGAACGATGCGAATTTCATCGCGGTAATCTTGGAACGTTAATCTAGACGGTGAGAACACCGGCGACACGAAGAAACAATGGCGGTCGCGATAAGAAGACCTCGCTGACTAGATGAAGGGTTAGGGCGAAAAATATAGCGAGCAACGGAGTGGCCTGCACAGCTGCCAGCAATTGCTTCCTTCGTGGAATTTTGCGACACGAGTTGCAAAGTTGCGAATTATACTCGTTACCTTTGTCTCGCGTTTCCATTCGCGTGTCTCTGTTTCAGCGATGGCAGTGCTGAAAACTTTGATTGGCGGTAACTAAAGAACCCGTTTAGGTTGTCGAGTACCATGGGTACAGAGAAATTTGCAGAATGTTGCATCGTTGTACTTTATGAGCTAAACTCGGGACTGTTTTCTAGTTAGATGATCATATAGTCGAGGTAACTGTAACAGTGGTCGAGTGTCAATGAAAGACCTCTCGTTATAGATTAGGTGGATATCCGTGTAAGGGATTTTATGGAATACTGATAGAGATATTAATCCTAATTTTATAAGAAAGCTAATTCAAACTATTTTTCTGAAAATTTTACGTATACCTACATGTTTCCTATTTTATTGCTGATAACTTGTATATCCGTCAAAGTATTTTACGTGTTGGACCATTTCCTGATATTCCAAGTTTTGCTCCCACGAAAACTGCTACTCGGGATTAAGAAATAATTAAGCTATCCTGCAGATCTTAGCGAAAGATACACGTTTCTCGTGTTTCAGGCAAACGTTTAATCACGTTAGACGTATACGAAGATCTTCAGGGACATAATTTGGATCCGACAAGATTTCTTGCAAGATTAAGGTGCAACTTCGCGAAAGCAGTCCCTAGCGCGAGTGCAAGCGAAAAAGCATGGAGATCACGTGTAGCGACTAACGACGTTAACGCATTGCAAATGAGCCCGCTGGGAAACATTATCCAAACGAAAGGTTTGCCTTTTGGGAACGCAGACGTATTACTGTTTATTGCCCTGAAAGGGACCGTTATAGATTATAATTTCACTTGGAGATCGAGAATTCCGTTTGTCGGAAGTAATACGCAAGAGTCGCGAATAACCTGGAAGGATTTCACCGACTGAGACTTAACCTAAACCTTAAAACTGTATTCGACAAACTGGAACCAAGGTTCTTGGAATTGCAATATCTAAACAGCAATCTATTAACAATTTATTATCCACGGTATCTATCAGACAGTAACGCGAGGTTCTTCGCTTCAACATTTCCGTTCTCCAATTTTAATAAAAAATAAAAAAAGATTTCCTCTGCAATTAATAAGCTCTCCCTAATTTGTAATAACCGAGAAGAGCGAACATGGCCGACCGTAAATTTCCATTCGCGAGATTTCCGAGGAAACAACATGCACCCCGATGTTCCTCCCTTCTCCTATCCATAACACCCCCTTTGATCCGTCCTCGTGGGCAACAAGAAAATAAAACTTCCCGCAGCTCTCTATACTTGTAAAAGAAGTACCTAGACGCGTCTCGATTCTGCCGGCCCATAAAGACTTCCAGACTCTCGACGAGAGACGGAGAGGAAGATAGATAGATAGAGAGGGGATAATATCGGTATTTTCGAAACTACATATTTGACGTTCATGCAAGCAAACACACAGGCTCTATCGAGCGACAAAGAAGCTAGTAAATTTTGTTCTACTTACTCGACCATGTCGGAATCCTTGGCTACTCGACACTGAACGCCACGATCCACCAGACATTTTCCGCTCACAGGGTCCGGAGGCGCGAGATTGATGTAGGGCGGCTCCTCCAAGAAGGTGATCCTCAAATAAAACTTCTCAGGCACCCCTTGAGGTGGCGTATGGGAGTTTCCTGGCCAAACGATGTCCTTGATGTCCAGACCTTCCTTCTTCCAGGACTTCCACACGCCGATCTGTTGGCACAAGTGAAACGGAAGATCAGTAAATTAGGAGTGGTTTGATGTAAGCTATACCCTTCGCTTAATATTATTACGTTAACGCGTCGTTCTTCTTTGTACTTGATTTTCACGAGACGATGTGGTATTAAGCGGAAAGACACAACTTCGTTAGTGCCGTATAGAAATTTTTGAAATATCCCAATGTATAGGAGGTTTTAACGTTAATTAGTGCGTGTGATGCGCTGGGCATAGTATGGAAGTTAGGTCTACCTTCAAAGAGCTTAGTTACACTTTGATTCTTTGAGGGTAGAGTAGGAAACGTTGGAGTAATTTAGGGAAAAATCTTGTTTCACGTTGCCAACGTAATTAACGTTCAGACGACACAGGATGTCCCTCAGAAATTTGTTTTCACGCGAATCGAAGATACCTAGCAGTGCACTGGTTAATTACGAAGAAAGGGGGAAAAAGTACAGTGTAAATTACCCTCTATTAGTGGAGCAACTTTATCGTGTAAGAAATGAGTACGAAAGTTATGGAAACCAGATTTGAAACGCGGTCAATGAACGTCATGATATTCGATGCCACTCGTCAGTTCGTGAATTGCTTTTCATTCGCTGCCTCGTTCGGAAAACCGCGGACAACCGAGATGGTGACGAATTTTTCTATTTTTCACACGGCATTGGAAACACGGGGAACTATATAAAAGCGGAACCCACGCACGCGTGTTAAAACACACGGTGTTTTTGTCAGCCTTTGTTCATACGTCACGAGAAATACTTCCAGAATTCATTCGACATCTTTCCCCAGTTCGCGTTTAAATTCGTCATTAAATTCCACTTTGGTGATTATTCGTACATCGCGATCTCGGTGCGAAATTCTCACGACGTTTGCTCGACGTAAGTGCTTCGTGAGAACAGTCGCAATCTCGTCGGCAGGCTAATTGTCAGAAATGAGGCAACATCGTCGAAGAATGTTATCCCTAATGTACACACGTTTCGTCATTATCGCGTTAAGTGGAATGAAAATAAGGGCAACGGGTGATTAGCTGTGTTCGCGAGGGCGAGAATTCCTCGCCTGATTTGATTAGCAAGTTCCATTTCGGTATCTCACCGCCACATACCATCATCCATTTTGTATCCTCACCGCGAAACGAGATCGATCTTATCCTTTGCGTCACGTCGCGGCGCCATTTTATACGTAATTTATTAACGCGCATGGATTCTCGGAAAATATCGAAAAAAAGCGCTGAAACTTTTGACACGCGTTTAATCAGTTCGTTGAAAGAGAGAAAGATAAGGGACACGTTTTCGAAAATTTTAGAGACATTTATTTACGATGGCTGCGAAAAACCGATGCCATTTTATTTCTCTGTGCTATTTCAGAGACCGCCAGAGCGAACATCGCGATTATACGTAAAGTCGATTTCCATTTAGCCGACAGGTTATATGCTAAACGCGAAAGTGAGCACGCTTTTCGCGAACGAAATGGCCTCGCAGTAAAGCGTTACGAGATTTGCTAATTTCTGCGTCAAAAATAAACTCGTTTCACCGTGACGACTTCATAAATGATCGAAAATATCGAATTATTCAATGCACCACCGCTGAACTCTGTATCGAAACTGAAACCAGCGAATAGCCATCGCTGATAAACGCGAAATTAAATAAGCAAAAATATTGAATCACCCTGAACCACGTGACGTTATCTTTATCTATCAACCTCGCAACTGGCCACGATCCACGAAAAAGGACGGCAAACCGACAAATGCGAATTAAACGCGGATAAACTTATCGACTCTCCCCAACGAGTCGAGCCGAATTTCCGTGGAATTTATTTAACGACGGGTTCGATCGAAATCGTTCAGCCAGACCCGGGAAATCCCTCTTTAAACGGATCAACCGGCGAGGATGCGTCATAAATTTTCGACGAACAATACCGGATAGAGAGCGGTCGAATTTTCGAGCGAAGCTTCGGCGTGGACAAAGTGGAAAGTGGAAATTGCGAACCGGGCGAAAAAGGGCCGTCTGCGACTTCATCGTCGTTTCGAATATGTAATAGGACGAGAAAGGGCGCGTCTCCTGTGTACGATCGGCCGACATTCGAGTATTGGAATCCGATACAGATACAGGTTGAACGTGTCGCGATGAAAATTCATTCGCCACCCCCCTGCGCCCTCCGCCGGCAGCGTCGTCGTCGACCCGAAGGCAAATCGCAATTTTTCATCCCTCTCCAGGCGTGGCTGGATCCGTGGAGTGACGGCAATTTTTCGCGTCACATTTTGATTAAGTTCGATGGCCGGCTTCTACCGGAACACGTGCGACCCGCGTTATTAAAAATACCGTCCATGTGAAAGGAACGTGCGAACGTATCGGGGGTGGTTTTGCGTTTGGTTTTTCCGTACTCTCCCCCTAGTTCCCTTTCTTTTCTAGGCCCGCCTGACGCCGAGATTCGCGAAGTCATAATTACGTGCAGGGATGAAAATATTTTTCTGTTATTGACAGATGTAAGGTAGAACGGAGTTTATTAGACTGTTTTTAAGAAGTTGTTTTACGGTTCTCTTTACGAGTAAACGCCCAGGTGGTGCGCACTTAATTCTCCAGCCGCTGAAACCGGCACTATTTCCTCTTTGGGGGTGGAAATTAAAACTGGAATTAATAACAAGTTTGTTTGCGCGATGAAGACGGTTAAGCGGATGTTGAAAAATGCCGCGAATAAACGGAGATTAATTATTACACATGGTATGCTTAACTATACCGAGAAAAATGTTATAAATTCCTAAACAATTACGATTCGTTGATGCAACACCTACAATATAGGGATGTTAAATTATCTTGTTTCATCACGTACTCGACGAAGTAGAATATTATTATCCAGATCCAATAAAACGTGTCTGTATCGTTGAACGCAACAAGCGCACCTGGAATGAGCCTCGTCATCTCAAGACATCCGGTCGGGATTGAGATTTACATGCCGTTCCAGATTTACGGAGCGTCATGTTCACAGTCACCGAGATTAATGGAAATAATGTACAGAAGTGGGGTTACGGAGAAGTACGCAATACCGGCAAGTAATGTTCACTGTCAGCCAGTTTACTGAGCCAGGGAGGAAATAGCGAGTCGCGCTTGCTCAGTCATACGCGTCGTTGCACGATGATTAATGACGTATACTACCTTTCGCGAGTATCATTCCAGCCCTCCACGTGGAGCTACAACTAGTTCCGGTTGTTTCTTGGCTTTCTGCCGTGAGGAATACACGGAATAATCGCGTTATGACTTCTGCCGCTTATGATTGTCTAGATAGCTGCGTCAACCGATTTCCAGTCGTTGCATAGGGTATGATAACGAAACTTCCGGTTTCCCGTTGTTATCCTGTCGAATATTAGTGCAGCGAGATCTACCAGGGTGAAAAGAGTAGCGAGGAAGAACTTACAGCGACGAGGAATAAAAATAAAAGAGAGAGCCGAGGTGGCAGAGGAGATAGCTGAGGATCAACGAGGATGAGAGGTTCCTGTGACAGGATGAAACGGTACAAAGACATCGAAAGGAGAATTCCAGCGATACAGGGAACTGGTGAGATCGTAAGAAGAATATCACTAGGATACAAGGGGAAGCGAAGTTTCTATCCTGGTAAAAATACGGCGAACCCTTCCCAAGCCATCGGGATTCCTGGAACACCCTACGACTCTGAAAGAAATGTACCAGAAGCCTGAGAGTGACAGGTTCGAATGAAACGTACAACGCAGAAGCTCTTTAACCCCCTATGGGTACTATAATTGGATGTATCGGTATAATTTGTTAACGAGGCCGTTATCGAATTCTCTCCTTAATCTGCTAGGATTTTTCACCAGAAACATCAGTCCAGTCCGCGAGTTTCGCTTACGTAACGAGGTCTAATGAAAGAAGAATTAATGATCCACCGCTTAATCACGATCCTCATTACCGCGGAAACGTCGTTAACGAATCGTGTTGCATGTAAATACGAGCCGCTCCATCCGGTTATCAGAAGTTGCGGCGGATCCTCGTGGGATCCACCGAGAGCGTGAGTAATGGCCTCGATCAATTTTCAGGGTCCATTAAGGGTGGATATCACGGAAACGAACGGCAGAGGCGATCATGTAGCAACCGGACGTCTTTTCGTCGACGTCTTCCTAATAAAGCTTGGCTAATAGGGAAATTCAATCAAATTTCGTCGAACTCTTTCGCGCTTTAAAGTATCTAGACTGACGCGTGAAGAAGGGATCATGGCAAATAAAATCTGCCAAGAAAAGACGATAATTTTCGCATTTTCTTTCACCGCGAATTATTATTTATTACCGGAATATTGCTCGAACGGGGTAGTTTCCTCGTTCATAGAGTTGCATAAAAATTGCAGTTCTCGCGAGGGCGTCGGAAGTAAAAGGTCTAATTGACACCTGCAAAATATACGATATAATGTCAAAGCGACTAAAGCCTCGGACGTTTGACGAGGTTAACCGCAATTTTATCAACGACAGCGTACTCTTTCAATGGAGCACAACTTTCGTGCAAAGGCCCGAGGTACTACCACCGATGGAACTTGCTGGAAAGTTCTCATATACTGCTCGATCTCGTTAGAAAGCCACCGTTAATCACATTCTATTAGCAGTCGTACATTAGAGGCGATGTTATGGCTTGTTAGGCAGTTTATTACTCCACCGGACTCCGTAGCATCTGCCTCGCTGTATCAGCCCGGTAAGAAACTTCTTCTCTCGTCTCTGTCAGCGTTTCGAGCTGTTTGGCGGTTCAATTATCTGCGATGTGTTGGATGCGACCGATAACGAAGCGACATCCGGCTAATGGACTAAGCCAATCTGGTCAGGCCGCTCGTAGAAGTGCCTACAGCGGATCACGGTCGAATAAATGCGATCATAGCTGGACGAATGTGATCACTTAATATCGATTAATTAGCATATCTCTTCTCCAACGAATCTTTCCATCTATGACCACACTGGATGACCACAGATACGAAATACAGTCAGCTTTACAACATTAATTTCTCAC